AATCTAATCATAGTCCACATGGCTTGTTTGACCAGTTATTATTTCTGTTCTGATAAAATCTAAGTGCATCTATTGAGGCATGTATTCTAGATAATGATCCACCAGCCTTTGCTTTTTGGGACCCCAAGAACTGGCCTGTTGAGCAGACATTGATTTTGAATGGTAGAATAACTTATCAGATTTCTGGCAGAGGCACAGAGATGACGCTCCTGATTAGACTATGGACTCGACACACCTGAGTGCACAACCAATGACAATCCCCAGAGAACTTTCTTATGTTTTCACAGGTGGGCTTCAGCTAAATTAGTAATGGGATCATGTCTCTGATTCCTTTTTCCCTTCTGGCTTACCCAAAACACAGACATGGTATATTTGTCACTTTAGAAACTTTATTTTATATTTTCTGGAGTCCTGTTATAATGACTCCCATGTCTTTGCTGCCCTCTGCTCATGCAAGAACCAAAGCACTGACAGTTGACCATAAACATGTTAGTTTCCCATTAGCTGTTGGAATTTTAAAGCTGAAAAGTCCTCCTACTTCCTCCCCTCCCCACACTCCCCCCCCCAAAAAAAACGTTTTTAAATTGAGGGTTCAGAAGGTCACACTGCAAACATATTCATGCCGATGCACTTTTCAACTCACGTTCCTTTAGAAATTATGGATGGTTCTTTTCACCTAATGATTTTTTCCACCAAATAAAACAGTGTAAAATCTATAGGCTTCAAGGAAGATTTCTGATCAGAGTTCTTCACAATAGATCTGTTCCTTCTGCAGTGGGACGCCAATATGCATCCCCATTGGACCTGACCCCAGACTCCAGCTGAATGCTTGTTCGGAGATACAAAAATAGGCATTCCACCCCTAGAGGCTCTATGTATGACTCATGGAAGGAATAAAGAGTAGACAACTTTTATTTGGAGAATTTTAATTAATAAATAACATTCCTCCTCTTTATCTTCTTTCAAGTTTAAATGAATAGTTCCAGTGGTAATAATAACCCAATTTCTGTATTTATAAAATACAGGCATGTACCATAACATCACATTTTGATGTAGATGAAGTACTCCATTTTTATAAAAAAATCAAATATTATCACTAAAGCTATTCATTAGCATTCAGAAGTAATTAAATATCCGCCGGGATTGCCATCTACTTGCTAAAATTACACAAACAAAAGTCTGAATGTTCCATTTTGTTTAGTTAAGGTGGGGGATATATGGGCTGGATCCTCTGAGCTCTGCTACAACCAGCTAACAGAAAAAATATTGGTCAGGCAGAATTGTCTAGTTTTGTAGTCAATTTCCAAAAAGATTTTTAATAGTTATGCAGTCAATGTTAAGGTGCTGGTTCCATTATAAAATCTGTGTTAGTGAAAGCAGCACCACCAGCTTCCTGTATGACTATGCTGTTAAACAGCCAACTAAATCCTAACCCTAGGTTAGTATTCTTAATTTCCACAAGGGAGTATAATAATAAGTTCTTCATTTTTTTTTCTCTAAACTGGTGAACTGTGACAGAGTTATTTTGCAACTTAACAACTCTGCAAATTATTCTCATTTCCACTCTGGCATTACTCCTCACTGAGCTCATTTAACTAGTGTTAAGTGTAAAACACTTTAGCAAGGTAAGGTTTGTGTATCCACAAAGCTAGATTAATGCACAAGAGTAATTTCTGGCATTGGTTAAACATCTCTAGCACTGAACTTCAGGAAAGTAGGATTGATGAGTTGAACTATTAGGTGCTGAAGTGTAGAGCAAGAAGAGACGGCGTCTTTCTTGTGATAATTGAAATCATTTCAATTCATTTCCTTCTTGGTTGGACAGAAACATGTTTTCAATAGTGAAGAAATCTTGAGGGAATCCATTGACCTAACCAGTCATATAATGCAAGAAGTTAATGGACAAAAATGATATTCATCTTCAGTTTATAATAGCATTTTATTTCACAGAACTTAAACTCTACACAGGCAAAGTGTATTATAAGAGCAACCAATACACTGGTAGATATGTGACCTTTGTTTTATGTAACAATTATTGTGTCTGTGGCAAAATAAAATAAAAAAAACTAACATACATTTTGAGGCCAAGATAATAAATTATAAATTATGAAAATCTAAAGCACCAAACAACTTGTAAGCAACAGTCCTGTCTCTTAGCAACGAGCCAGGGAAAGCAGCTTGTTGATAGGAATAGAGCAGACAGAATTGTTTTGCAATGATTACCACCAAGGAACCAGGAACAACATTTTAACACCTGCCTCAGGGCACTTCTCCACCTAGCTATCCATCTCTCCAGTGGCCCACAAAACCTGGGCTGTGTGCCAAAAGGCTTCTGAGGCCTACCTCTTTACCAGAGCAGGCCCGCTGCAAAAAAAAAAAAAAAAAAAAGGACCCCAGAGGAAAGATCAAAGAGGTGGAGGTTCAGGTGTGTTGCACACTTGTGCCATGATTCTACTCCTTTAAATGCTTTTCTATAAACAATGTGTGATCATCAGTGTAAATGTTTATTTCCCCCCATCTCTGTCCTTTTAATGTTGTGTCTCATTTAAAGTCAGTGTTATGAATGAATGTGGACAAGTATTTGATATTGTGCCAACTTTTTGTTGTTGTTTTATTCTTAAAAATCCAGCATTCAAATCTGAAGTAAATGTTGCTTTCAAGAGCATAAAGTTATTGTTTCATTGCCAGACTGATCACAGCTGATTTCAATGCTGTGCAACCTGAATATCTCCAGAAATACATTGCAAGCACACGAAAGGTTTAAACGAGTCTGGGTTTTAGTAGGTCTCAGGCCCAACCTCTGAGGTGAGTTATTCTCCCAGGTGGAGTGACCTAGCCAGTGCAGGGAGGCTGTGGGGGGAAAGGGCAAAAGATAAGGAGGAAAGAAGAGGGAAATGTGGAACCCTGGGAGAGGATGGGTTAAGATGCAGAAGGAGAGAGAAAACAATGGACACAAAGGAGAGAAAATAAAACAGTATGGAGATAAAAAAAAGAGAATGAAAATGGGAGATGGAAGGAGAAAAAAGAATGGAGACATGGAAAAACAGAAAAAAAATCAGTAAGCAAATTTTATTTCCCCTGCAGAAATGAATGCAGCACAGAATGGCTAAAAGGATAATTTAATTCTGAGCAGCTGAAAACCTATCACTGACTTGTGAGACCCGGTGCTTCTTTCACTCTAAGTCCCAAGTGAGTCTGTGCATTGATCAAAGTCTGCAAGCCAGATTAGCCCATAACCCTCTCTATTCCCACATTATACCTGAATTAGTTAGGTGACGGGATAGCGTTAAACATATTTCCATCAACCTACCTCTACTGCTGTTGGCTGTAACACTTATTGGACCAAAGTGCCCAAACTTGCTAGGAATATGTGGAGGTGAATGGTAAGGCATTCATTTGGCAAGAAATTGGGGCCTAGAGGTCAAACTCCCACTGCAGAAAGTCCATTTTTAATTTGTCCCCTAAATAGACTGATTTCAGCTACATTGCTGAATATAAATGTTCCTGCAACATTAAACAAATACATCAGTTAACCCACCTCATTTTTTCCTTAAACAAAATCCTGATGGAATTGGTCGTTGTGTCCTCTAAGACTTTGAGGCTCACCAGGCAAAAGTGGGCTTTCTCCTTCACTTTTCTTTTGGGTGATTGAAGATGAAGTCCTGCTCACTGCACATCCTTATGTGAGAGAGTTTAACACAGTACCTCCTGGCTGTACAGTCCCAGCATGCAGCGCAGCACACTGGCAGTAGTTCAGCTGAAGACTAAAAATTTGGCTTAGTGACAGCAGAGCTGCCAAGAGTTGGCAACAAGAGACTCACAGGGAAGCAGCAGGCTGCTAAACCCTTTCACATTTTTAATTAGATCCACACACCCATGTCTTTGAGCTATCATAAATATACAGATGACATAGAGAGCATTATTTGGGGTAAAAAGAAAAAAAGAAAAAGAAAACTCTACTGTGGTCTATCTTACCTTATTAAAATAATTTACCTACAGCTAGTCTTTGGAACAGAGGGGAATAAAGAAAAGGGAATAGTGACATTTAGCTCAGATAAAAGTCTCTCTTTAACTACAGTAAATTCACCCTGCACACTGTAAACGCAGGTCCCAGGGATGACTGACACGCAGACTTATTTGCAATAGCATCACCAGGAGAGGGCATTATCGGCAACAACTGCAACATGTAATTTCCCAGCAGAGCTATACATTCAAGCCATAAGTATTCTTATGTGTATATCTTGCTATGATGTTTGTTGTTAAAACTATTTGTTTTCTTTCCCTTGTGCTGTGGTTACTATTTTACAAATACCTTGGTACATTCAAAGCCCCTCCTCCCCTCTTAACTCCATAAAGAGGCTTTTCTCATTCAATTCTTCTTTACCTTCTGACTTTCTTCTGCTCCTGTTCTCAAAATAATTATCACAGTTGGTTGGTTTGTTTAATCCTTTTTAAAGACTTTTTTAACAGAACAGTCTCGCCCATAGCTTGGTACTTTAATAGATTGGTTCACACCTTGCTTTTCTGATTTGACATTGGTGTGAGTTTACAACAGTAAAGGCTTTCTTGAAATACAATGTGTCAGTAACTGATGTCATCCTAAATGGACAGTCCAACTCATAGTGTCCAAGGCAATTGACATGTGGAGCAACAGTTCACATCTCCAGGAAGTTTTTGGAAAGTGTAGGGGACAATTTCCTGGTGCAAGTGCTGGAGGAACCAACTAGGGGCAGAGCTCTTCTTCACCTGCTGCTCACAAATAGGGAAGAATTAGTAGGGGAAGCAAAAGTGGATGGGAACCTGGGATGCAGTGACCATGAGATGGTCGAGTTCAGGATCCTGACACAAGGAAGAAAGGAGAGCAGCAGAATACGGACCCTGGACTTCAGAAAAGCAGACTTTGACTCCCTCAGGGAACTGATGGGCAGGATCGCCTGGGATAATAACATGAAGGGGAAAGGAGTCCAGGAGAGCTGGCTGTATTTTGAAGAAGCCTTATTAAGGTTGCAGGAACAAGCCATCCCAATGTGTAGAAAGAATAGTAAATATGGCAGGCAACCAGCTTGGCTTAACAGTGAAATCCCTGCTGATCTTAAACAGAAAAAAGAAGCTTACGTGAGCCATTGCGATGGAGGCATTCTGCAGGGGACACTGAATCACTGAGTCCCCTTCACCCTTCCCTTTCTATTATTGGAGTGGAATAATATGTTTGTTTTAAATCTGCTGCCTATTAATTTGATTGGGTAGCTCTTGGTTCCTGGGTTATGTGAAGGGGTAAATAACACGTTCTTATTCATGTTCTCCACACCATTCATGATTTTCTAGCCCTCTATCGAATCCCCTCTTAGTTATCTCTTTTTTAAGATGAACAGTCCCAGTCTTTTTAATTTCTCCTCATATGGAAGCTGTTCCATATTCCTAATCATTTTTGTTGCACTTCTCTGTACCTTTTTCAATTCTAATTATCTTTTTTTGAGATGGGGTGATCAGAACTGCATGCAGTATTCAAGGCGTGGGCGTACCATGGATTTATATAGTGGCATGGTGATATTTTTCTGTTTTATTATCTGTCCCTTTCTTACAGGGCCGGCTCCAGGCACCAGCGCAGCAAGCAGGTGCTCAGGGCGGCCAGCGGAAAGGGAAAGATTTCTTTCATGCTAATTTAGATCCCATTATTTTGTATATATAGTTGGGATTATGTTTTCCAGTGTGCAATACTTTGCATTTATCAACATTGAAGATCATCTCTATTTTGTTGTCCAGTCACCCAGTTTTGTGACTCATTTGTAACTCTTCGCAGTCAGTTTTGGATTTAACTACCTTGAGTAATTTTGTATCATCTGAAAACTTTGCCACCTCACTGTTTATCCCTTTTTTCCAGATAATTTATGAATATATTGAACAACACTTGTCACAGTACAGATCCTTTTGGGAGGCCCTGCTATTTACCTCTCTCCATTGTGAAAACTGACCATTTATTCTTACCCTTTGTTTCCTATCTTTTAACCAGCTACTGAGCCAGGAGAGGACCTTTCCTCTTACTCCATGACTGCTTTCTTTGCTTAAGAGCCTTTGGTGATAAGCCATTTAAAACACAGGGCCAAATATTGTATTAGCGTTTTTTTCCTCCTTTGCTCAGAAAAAAAAGTACTTAAAATCAGTTTGTGCAAAAGTGGCTGAATGCAGCATGACTTGCACATACGTTCCAGAAGGACCCTTATTTTAGGATTTTCATTTTGAAAATACATCCTGGGTTTTTTCCTTATGAATTAGAGCTGCAGTGGATCAGCAGGCCAGGTCTAATTGGGAATCCTTCTATTTTTAAACTAGTAACCCCACAACATTCTACCCCCAAGGTGAAACTACATTGTGTGTGTGTGTGTGTGTGTGTGTGTGTGTGTGTGTGTGTGTGTGTGAAAACCTGTCTTCATTGAAGTCAATCAGAGTTATACCACTGACTTAAATGGGGCCAGAATTGCACCCTTATTATACATCCAAGGATTGCATTAGCCTTTATGGCCACAGAATACTGGGAGCTCATGTGTAAGCTTTTCCACCCCTCCTCCATTTTATCATCTTCTTTTTAAACTAAGTTTAGAAGAGTGAAGGAGGGAAGAGTCAATCACTAGGAAGAGGGATTAGTTTGTTCAGAGGTCAGAACACTGACCTTTATCACAAATCTATCCACTGATGAAATGTAGCTGAGTTCAAAAGAAAGTCTAGCAGGGAGGCTTGGACTTTTCCCAATTAGAAGAATTTTTTGCAATCATCAGAAGTTATCAATCTTCATGGTGTACTGTAGGCAGGGCCAGCCGTAGGGAGGTGCGGGGCCTCGGGTGGATTTGTCTCGTCCAGGACCGACTGCGCTGGCCAATCGCATCGGCCCGCGGGGCCCCCAAAGCACGGGGTCCGGATCGGTCGCCCCGATTCATCCTACCCAAGGGACAGCTCTGACTGTAGGATTGCATAGCTATGGCGCACACACTGATGTTTCTGTATAGGCCTCAGTGGGTCAGGTGTGCAACTCATTACCAGAAAGTCAAGGCAGCAGCTTTATTTACACCACACAAACATTAATAATTGCAATGGCAGTAGACTGAATGGGCAGAATTTTAGCCTGGCGCTTAACAGCAGGCAAAAATCACATCCCACTCCCATCCTATTCAGAAGGTACCTAACCCTCCCACCTTCACATTCTCAGATCTCTCTCTCTCTGGCCCTGATCCAAAGCTTATTGAAGCCAATGGAAATCTTCCTTGCCCCCCACCTTGTCTTCAGCAAGTCCAACTAATAATAAGTCAGCTTCTAACCACCCACAGAGGTAGGTTCCCTCATCTATGAAGTGCCCAGAACAAGGGATGATATTTTCATTCCTTCTTTCCCTGACCATGCCCCAGCCACAAGTAGCAACAAGCATATAAAGGTTGATACACAATCTACCAAACCTAATTCCAACATTCTTCTCTCATCATGGGACAGATCATATATATAGTCAAAACATCTATGATGCTGCTGCAGTCCCTTAAGTAGCAAAGTAGCAGATTTTTAGAGGTTATGCTTGATCTCCATGGTACCAATTTTACTACCTGGTTTATACTCTGCTCCAGGCATTTTCTGGACTAACTATCTCTCTTTTTGGCTTCACCTTTTCTAACCATTGGTTGCTTCAAACAAAGAAAACTATTTACAAATTTCACATGATATTTTTGCAAAAATATAACTTGTCAACAATTCATTAGAAACTGGGGTCCAGGCTTTGTCAAAATTAGGAACCTTAAAGAAACCTTCCAACGGATCTGAGCTGTACGTTTTGAACAAAACATGAAAATAGATGTGTTTCATATGATTTGAGGTTTCATTGTGGACATTTTGCCTAGCTCTGATCCCTACCTCTACTAACACAGATCTGTCACAGATATAGTAATATATTCTATATTAAAAATCTCCAAACATCTTAAAGACTTTCAGTTGATACTGACAAAAAGGCTTTAGAAATGTATTTGAAAACACAATGCATTCTGCTCTGTTCTCTCATACTTCCATATTGAGCTCCTGCATTCATCTAGGGCCAGAGTCTGATACCCTAATTCTGTTGTAATAACAGCATAGCCAGTAGATAGGGCTCTAGAGTTGGTGTCAGTCAGGAAACTTGCCTCTGCCACTGACCTGCTCTGCGACTTTGGGCCAGTCTCATCACCTCTCTATGCCCCTGTTTCCCCTTCCATCCTTTGCCTGTCTTGGTTGAAGCCTTTAGGCTCTACTGTAATAGAAAGAATAAATAATGATAATGCCCCCAATCCACGAGTAATGCCATTGACTTTAATGGGAATACTCACTTCTGGTACTTTTTACTCTGAGTGAGGCCCCTAATGAAGAACAACTCTTTTCATCAGTCCAGTCTCTAGTTTTTGTATGTGAGGGCTTTAAAAGGGAAAAAAAAATCACTAAATCCGTTGTTATAGCAGTGTTGAAAATTCATCCAGGAGGTTCATTATGTTGCTATCTACAGAAAGGAAGTTAGTGGGGCACATATAATATGTTATGAAGAAACATGAACAACCCAGCAGGGCCTCTCTCCCCCCTTGAGGGTCAGTAATTACTTCACAGGCCATTTCAGCGGCTGTTTATGTTGGAAGAGGTGTGTGTACCTGTGACCTAGATGAACAGCAGTGGGATTAGCCTCCCTCAAATCAGATGCAATATTGAAAGCATCCGATGAGACAGGGCTATGTCTACAG